CTGCCACAGTGAAACCCTCCGAGATATTATCCTACACAATGGGCGCTATATAAATGCAAATTGTTGTCGTCGTACGCCTCTGCCATTCATTAGATTTTCAGCTGCAAAGGGATTTTACTGAAAAGATTCTTCACCAGCATGTGGAGGATGTGAATTACAACAATTTAATGGAAAACTAATAAATAGCGTTCAGTCATCATCTGGTGCAAGAAGAGTACCCCGGAGCACTGTTTGAATGAAAAAGCACCATTAATTTATTCCTGGGTCAGTGACAAGCCATACAGCCATAAAAAGCAAACTCACTTCAAAGCACTGGGAAGGTTGCATTTTGCTTTGGATTTTATGGACCAGACTTCGCTGGTCCCTGGTGGAACTTTTATCAAAATAAATTATTTCAGTTGGTTTCCACAAGAGTTACCAAAGTATGACAACTACAGAATAGTTATTCAATCCACTTTTTGTTCTTCCTCTAAAGGCATAGTTGGCTCTTCTTTTCTTTTCATTCGGATGAGATGTTAAACAGGTCCTGTCTGTTTGTTCAGGTGGGTGTTAAAGATCCCATGGTACTATTCGAAAAGATAAGGAAGTTTCTCCTGGTATCTTGGCTATCAATCCCCCAAATAAAATTGATCATTCACTTAATTTCTGTTTGTGGGACATTGTTGTGCACAAATTGGTTGCTGTGTTTGTCTCTAAATACTCGGTCACTTACATTCACAGTAAAATCTTGTAAAACAATTTGAGATGTCTCAACAACATGGTGAGGTTCTTTAGACAATGGACAGGGGATCAGGGACATCTCAGCCCAGCTTATCCTCACCAGGCATTCACACAATGCACTTTATTGCTCTTGATAGAGATCAAGAGCAGGAACATTGGTAGATTTAGGTCTAAGACATACAGTGATCAGTAAATACTGTGGTAACAGATGTTGGAGATTTTAGCTGTTAAGAGTGCAGCATGCAGAGCTTTACACCACTATTTGAGTACCTCCTTTGGGTGGGGCTCCTTGGACTTAGTGAAGCCAAACCAGAAGGAAATGTGGCTTTTAGATGCTGCAATTTATATGCCCAAATGATGGGCTACAGCTTTAAATTTAGCAGGACAATTGCAGTCTGCCCTTGCTATCTTTTGCACTGCTCCTCACCATATAAATAACTGAAGAACAAATGCACAATCCAAACAGCCAGAAGCTACAAGGCTTACCATCTTGGTGCAGGCTCTGAAACTGAACCACACTGTGCAAAAATAGATGGCCAGCAGATTCTAAGCATCAGCTTTAAACGGTTTGATTGCTTCCCCTGCACTTTTCTGCTCATAGGACAACAGAGAGAATGACCATGAATAGGGAGATTGACCATGAGCAGAGAGAATCTCTATGAAAAAGACTCTCATTTCTCACCTGGTCAGAGGCACAGTGTAAGTTAGGCGAGGTCTTATTGAATAGGATCTTATGGGGCCTGTATCTAAATCGCTCATCGGATCCATCACAACTCAGGTTGATTTATGACTGAGCTGTGATGTTCTTACTCTCGTGAATAGCCCTTATACTGCAAGCAAAGAATAGTTTTGATTTATTATACAGCTGATAAGAAAAGGACCAAAATACTTTTAGTTCTCATCCATCTTGTATTTTTAGTCAGTACGGTACATGGACACTGAGGTTTACAGCATGCCAGCCTCTGTTTCCTGGAACAGCTGAATAGAATACTTGGCTCCACAGTCAATCCCAAGGTGGAAAATAAACACCCAGGATGCTCCCGGACTCACCTTCACATCCAGCACGATTTCACTGGATTCCACATGGGGAAATACTTGAGTCTGTGATTCGCTTCCCAAAAATCATGGGTATCTGGTTACTTACCTCTTACCTTCCCTTCTTCCCTCTTATACATAGTGGGGTCGAAAAACGCAATATGTTATTTGAACACGTGGAATAGGCCCACAACTTCTTGGGTGAGCACTGGAGGTTGACCAAGACACTAACAACTTCCTCCTAAATGTATTTGAAGAAAACCTAAACAAGGCAAGCTCAAAACATTTACCTTTGTGTATCTTTACAGCGAGGAATATCGCCGATGTTTGAATTCCATTAAATAGTCAGGAAGAAAGGAGTGAAATAAGAAATCTTGATGTTCATTCATGAAGACTATCAACATGTGAAGTCCCACAGGCAAGGGAGATTTCATGGTCTGATCGTTGGTAAATTTATTGACCACTGGAGAGCCAGACACACTTGCCCACCAAAGTCAGTGAACCAACACTCACTCCAGTAAAACCTAACAATAAATGATGGTTGAGAAGAAGTCTTAATAGTGTAGCACTTGGGACAGCATAATGATGTAGTGGATAGAACTACAGTTTACAGAGCAGGGGCACGATGGTTCAAACCCTGAGCTGAAGTTTGTTAGTTTCTGCCGAGGAGAGGTTAAATTGACCCCAGCTTTCCTTGGGATAGGTTGGTTAAAATCAGTTGGGTTTTGCCCACAAAATATACACTCAGTTCACTTTACAGTACATTCTGTGAAGCGCTTTGAGACATCTCGAAGATGTGATAAGACACTATATCAAATGCAATGATTATTATCATTATTTATTCACCTGGTCCCTCCACAGCACCCTCTACTGGTTGTGCACAGGAGTTGCAGCCAGGTGGGAAAAGGTCAAGCTCAGTTGTGATGCCCTCTTTTGTTGAGTTGCCTTCGACACTCACTGCCAAGGCTCACATATTAATAATGGTCACTTGGGCAGGGGACCAGAGGGCAACCAACAACTATGCAACTGTAGCCCAGAAAGAGGAGGTCAGATCAAGAGCAGAGGCATTTTCAATGGGGAGAAAATTAATTGGAAACACTAAATTAATAAAATATATATAATATCCTTGCTTTTTTTTTAATAGCTCCTTATCATGTCTCAAAACGCTTCACAGAATATACTGTCAAGTGAATTGACTGTATTTTGTGGGCAAAAAAAAACAGCAGTGGAATTTGATTACGATGTTCAGTGGTAGAATAAGATGTACGGTATTTAGGGATAGGCGAGGCCAATTCCATCTGCACAAAATGGAATTTTGTATACCACAAACATCCATGGAGTGAATGATCAATTTTATCAGGGGGATTGTTGGCCAGGACACCGAAAGACACCGCTCTTTTCTCTAAATTTATTGGCGACATCTGCATCAGTGCTCTTCGCTGCAATTTTTCAAGTATAAAATTGCCAGTGATGGATGCAGTCCTGGTTTCACAAGGTTTCTTTTTCACAAATACTGCTACTTGAAAGTTGTTTATCTGATTTATCAAACAAATCTGTTCAAATCCCTTCACTCTCTTCATCTCTCTACCTCTCCGACCTTCTCACTCCTCAGTCCACCACCCGGTGCCTCTGCTCAACTGGCACTGGCCTCCTGCTTGTTCCTCACATCCTCCGCCCCACCATCGAAGGTTGCGCTTTCAGCCACTACGCCCCGGAACTCTGGAACACTCTCCCTCAATCCTTCCATCTTGTCCTCTCTCTGCCCTCTTTCAAATCCGGTCTGAAAAGTTTCCTGTTCGGCCGTGCTTACAGTCACCTCCCCCGTCCCCCTGGCTCAGCGTCAGGCTCAGCCACTGTTAAGCGCTCTGAGAAGCTGCCTTGTGTGGAGGGCACTATATAAGTGCAACTTGTTGTTGATCTTGTTGTAAATCTGGTACTTAGAAGAAAAAAACTAATGTGTATGGATGCTGAGGATTGACCTCACCCCCTCCTTCCTTGTGACCCTGGATTATATGATATCATTTGAAAGGCTTCCAAGTTTAAAAAAAAACCTCTGATAATCATTGACCATGACAGGCTAGTGGATGTATAATAATCATAATAAAAATAATAATTGTTACCCTTCACATTCCGAAGATGTTTCATACAGTACAAAGGGAAGTGTGTATTTTGCTGGCAAACGCAACAGGAGTCCTGTAACTTAATGGTTAGAGCACCTGCCTCGCAAGCAAGAAGACCCGGGTTCGATTCCTAGGCCGAGCAAAACCTAAGGTAAGTTTCCTTACTCCACACAGATGCCTCTGTTTACCTAGCAGTAAGTAGGTACCGGTTGTTAGGCAATTGGTGGATTACTTGGACATTGCTTTATGACTCTGGTGGGAAGGTTGCAGCACCTAAAAGATTGCTCTTCAGGTGTTCATGAAAACAAATGAATGTTATCTTCGAAACACTGCTGCCGATTTCCTGGTCATTTCTGTGTGACTAATGGTGACACTGAAATGATTGTCATAAGACAAGCATTATTTCCTTTTATGAAATGTTTGTGGTAATTTTTTGCAGCACGAATAAATTTGTGTAAGATCTACTCTTTGGTAATAATATTTGGGTAATCTTTCCCCTTCATCCTCTGTTGGCTCTTGGGTACCAAGCCAGGATTGTTAAGTGCCGTGGAACATCCTCATGACGTGAAAGGCTCTATATAAATGTAAATTTGTATTGTATATATACATGAGGAGTACAATGGTAGTAATGAGTTATTTACTCTACATTTTTATTCAGCCAACAAGGTATTCTTATCATTATAAAAAATATTCATGTTCAATGCACTTCTAATAAGGTGGAAGAGATTTTATTATATATTACATGATATTTATGCATGCAAATTCTATACATCTAATAATGGAAAAATTCTGTACTTTTTACTAATGACATTTGGTGTAATGCTATACCTTCAATGGAGGATCATGTGCTGTGGTCCAATGTGTAATGAAATATTTTGGACCTCATGACCTGTGTGTAACTTTTTCAAACCACCTTATACTATTCAGCGTTATTGCACAGGAGACTGACAAGCTGGTATGTTCTTGTGATTAAATACACAGGGTAAAGGAGACAACAGAGCAAGTAATTTACTAGTTACTGGCTTGAACCACTGTGCTCCAGCCTTCGGTAGTTTCTCCCTATTGCCTGGTTGCTAGGTGACAGAGCTTGTTAATCTCACTAACTAAGCAGTCAGAGGGCCCTTACATGCCAAACCATGATTGACTGTACCGCTTCCCATTTACCGGAAGAGATACACTTCCCCCAGTATAATTGAGTGCAAATGAACATTAAACTTTTCCAATATTTGGCTCACGGAATTTCAACCCTAAGATGCCTAACAACTAATTAGTTGCCAATTTAATTAATGGGGCGTTGTTCAATGTTCAGTCGCTGACAAGTCCTGGGTTTAGACTTTTCCAAGAGAAAACCTAGCTGACTAGAGCCACATTATCTCTCGAGAACATTGCAACCTGTATCCAGCTGTGCTGATTTACAATTGCCAGTATGTCTTTGGCATTTTGGTGTGAAAAAGTACTTTCATGTTAATTGTACTGCACAACTATAACATAAAGAATGCTGCAATCAATGCAAACCTTTCAACAGGCTGAAGAATAACAGACTTTCTCTGTCTCACTGGAAGTATAAGACAGTCTTTGTATTGACAACACTTTATTGTTCAAAAGACCACTCACCAGCTATTTCCAAAAGTAGTTTCTAAAAGAACTTTTTCCCGTTTGACTCGAGCACAGTGGAGTTTTTATAGAAGGTGAAGATTAAAGCATGTGTTCTATGTATGTACATTATGTTGGATCCGGTCTCCAATACCACTCTTTGTAAAGGGTGAAGGAGCCCAGTCTTCTGGTGGTGTGCGAATGGCTTGCGTGACATATGACTCAGTCTGAATGGAATCTGAAAATCATTAGCAGATCTTAGGGCCTGCTTCTACTGCTGTTGACCACTCAAAAGAACGCAAAGTAAAATTCCAGCATTGCTTCAGACTCAAATTCTGCCTCTCCTAAAGTATTTCCATTCAATCACAATCCATTTAAATTATTTGGCAAAAAAATACCCACACGATTAACTTCAGCAGCCTTCTGAAAGAGGGAATCAATAATGTGATGATGACAGTCTGTGGGATTTTACTGATTTACGGAAAGCAAACCATTGTTTTCTGTGAACTTGCTATACATACAGTGGAGATTTGTTAATCTGACTTTAGGGAATCTATTCTGTCGGCAATACTTGTGCAATATTTTTTGCAATATCTCTGTTTAATTTATATCCAGCAGTTTCAATCCAGCAAAGTAAAACATCTGACAAAGTCCATATCATTGAGTCTCCACTATTGCATTTGGATAGGTCCTGCCCATCTGTTCTCTGTCCAAACGGCTCACTGTTTTCTACAGACCTCTAGCTGAAAGACACCTCTACAGTCGTTAAGATATTTCACTCTTATTTCTCAATGTTGATGAAGCATGTTTTTTTAAAAAAACAGGTAAGTGATAAAAAATATTATTTTAGTAATAATACATCACTATATACACATTTAAAAAATAAATGTCTACCATATTCCCTAACCAGGGTTATAAACAATGGATATGGTTTTCCTTCAGAACAATGTCTCATCTTGTATGAGTATCCTAGGTCAGCCTTGGTTGAAATATAGACCTTAAAGTGGATATAACTATTGGTTTCCATCATTCTGAACTGCTTGTCCTCAGAGTCTCAGCCTCCCTGGGCCATGTCAAGTGTGTCGAAGGCTGCCGGTCCAACATTTCAGACCTGTACACGGCAGTGCCCCAGCCACCATTATCATGATTGCAGGGGGACAGGCAGGCAGATGTCTCATCATGTGGAGTTATGACAGCGCAGGAGATGCATCACACTTGATACGTAGCTGTGATACGCTCGTGGATGCGCTCCAAAATGCGATGGATGCTTGCAAAGCTTGGCCGGTCAGATGGCATCTTACTCCAGCAAAGACGCATCAGGTTGTAAAGCTCCAGTGGACAGACTTCAGGGCACGTGAGAATGTTTCCATCTCGGACGTAGTAAATTACCTCTTCATGAGCCATTCCATAGTAAGGCTGCATGCCGTAGGAGAAGATCTCCCACAGGATCACCCCATAAGCCCACACGTCTGATTCCGTAGTATAACGATTGAAGAAAATAGACTCTGGTGGCATCCATCGAATTGGAATAGCATCATTCTCGTTTGCTTTATAATAGTCTGCAGAGTAGATATTCCTTGAAAGTCCAAAGTCAGCGATTTTAACCACCAGATTCTCCCCGACCAAACAGTTCCTTGTAGCCAGGTCACGATGAACAAACTTCCGTTCAGACAGATAGGCCATGCCAGCTGCAATCTGCTTGGCAACATTAAGCTGGTCAGTGCAACTTAGGGGTAACAAGTCAGTGTCTGACCCAGTGCTCCGTCCTGCAAGACTAATCTGGCTCAAAGTGCGGATGTTCATAGAGGATCGTCTGCGTAAATACTCGTTCAGGTCTCCAAAAGCCATGTACTCAAACAGCAAGCACATGGGTTTCCCAACAGCACACACTCCTGTAGGGAAAGGGAAACAGACATCAAGATTGCAACATGATATACACTCTGCTGTGTAAATTAAAAGACAACTGACTTTTTCCATTTTCTTCTGAAATACTTGATTAACAAGGAATGTACATCTGGAGGGAGAATGTTCTTCTTCAGTCAGCGCCTCCACACCTAAGGAACTGACAGCATCACCATCCAAGGATGCACACTCCACCTCACTAAGCCTGTCTGGAACCTTGGGGTCTTGTTTGAACCTCGACTATCCTTTCTACCCCACATCCATGCCATAGCCAGCTCTGCCTTCCCCCATGTCCGCTACAACTTCCTCCCCTGACTCCACTGGCTTCCCATCACCCAGAGGATACAGATCAAGATCCTGGTCCTCACCTTCAAAGCCTTCCATGGCCTCACTCCCCCCACCTCTGGAACCTCCTAACTCCCTACCATTCTGCCCGCTCCCTCCGCTCAGCGGGCTCCGGCCTGCTTTACGTCCGTCGCCTCACCCACCCCACCATTGGTGGGCGGGCCTTCAGCCACTCTGCCCCCACCCTCAGGAACTCCATCTCGCAGTCCCTCAGCCTCGGCCCCTCCCTTGCCTCCTTCAAGACCCATCTCAAGATCCTCCTCTTCGACCGTGCTTTTGATCACCCCGCTTCCCCTCCCTGCCCTCCACACTCCCCGATCCCGACCCCCAGCTCGGGTCCGAAACACTGACTGTCCAGCGCCTTGGGTCATCCTCCCGATGTGAAAGGCGCTATACAAATATAATTTTGTTGGTGTTGTTCTTGATATAGAAAATTACGCAAAAACAACAAATTATATTTGTATAGTGTCTTTCACGTCAGGAGGACGTCTCAAGGCACTGGAGAGTCAGGGATTTGGAACTGAGCTGGGTGTTGGAATCAGGAGGGGTGGAGGGCAGGGAGGGTTGGGGTAGGAGGGTGATGAAGGCACGGTCGAAAAGGAGGGACTCGAGATGGGAATTAAAGGAGTCAAAGGAGGAAACGAGGCAAAGGGATTGTTGGATGGAGTTCCATAGGGTGGGGCAGAAAGGCTGAAGGCCCAACCGCAGATGGTGGGGTGGGGGGGTGAAGGAGCGGACAGGTCCATTGCATACTCTGGGGTCCCCAAGCCTTGGCTCTTGCCAACCTGTGCCTAATACTCTCTGAAATTAGATAAGCAGGTTGCGACTCTAGAGAATGAGTGCACATTCCATTTCAGTCATGGGAATTTCCATGTATATTTGGCATGTATGGAACTCAGTCTAGTTTAGATAATCTTCAGCATGGTGTTGAGTTCCCGCATGTATCAGACACCCGGCTGACCAAACAAAAGTCTGTTTAAGTGAATCACTGTTGTTGTGTATATCATGTGTACCAGCAGCTTAGCTCCACATTCAGCAATGCACAGCCCATTTTTCCTGTATAGAATCTATTTACCTGCCGATTTGATAACCTGTTATTTGCAAATTTGCAAATTATGTGCAATTTTGTTTTGCCATGTAACTAACAACTAATTGAAGCCAATTATCTTGCGCATTCTTTCTGTGGTTTTTAATAATACTGGAAGCAATTCAAACACTGGGATACTATATGCCCTTTGCCTTAAATCTGTCCACTAAGCTCACATAATTATATAATAAATACAGTCAATTCACTTTACAGTATATTCAGTGAAGCGCTTTGAGACATCTTGAAGATGTGATGTGGCGATATATCAAATGCAAGGACTATTATTATTATGTTTGTTTTGTTTCTCAGATCTTCTATGCATCTTTTATATCAAATGCAAGGATTATGCATGACATATCTAGTCTACAGATATCTCAAAATGTGGTTTAACTATTTTCCCCTTATTAGCTGCGCAGTCCTACTTTCTCCATCCCTTATATCTGCCCACCATGAGCAGTCTTATTAGTGGTATTGGAGTCAAGTGTGAGGTATTATTAAAGAATGTAAATCATGCCAATTAAGATTCCTTCCAGTTACTGGAACTAGGTCACGAGAACTGGAGAAAATACTACTTGATGCAATCCACTTCCAGAGCAGAATTCCCAATGGGCAGAATCCCAATGGGAATTCTGACTAGATTTTTTATAAAAGAAGGACAGAGCCTCCAGCAATGCAGCACACCACCCAGCACTGCATTGGAGTGTCAACTTAGACTCTATGAGTTCCAAGTCCCAATAACCAAATGGAAGCATTATTGTTAAAAACTATGAGAAAACAACATCGAAAGTAAGACTCCGAATTTGGGAATTTCCACAATTCTGTGTGGTCCTACACTTTAAGACAAAATAGTCATACAGCCTAAGACTAAGTGGAACTTCAGGCCTCTCATATTGTCACCCCTTACATATACCAACACAAAAAAAAATTGAATATAGTGAGAACACTAATTGAAAACATTTGAACCAAAGTCTTATAAAACAAATTGAATTACACCCTGTTGGCATTTACCACATTGTACTTTGATCTGTTGTGTACCGTTTATTCTAGGAAAGTTTCTATTTATAGGCAAGTGTTTTTCAGCTGTAAAGTATTAGAAAGTGACATAATGGGAGACATGCAATGAGGATAAATACAGATTAGCTCAGGGTATCTCAGAAACAAAATCAACTGATAAATCAAGATATGTTGCCCTAGTCAAGTTTTTTTTGTGGTGCAAAAAATGCCACAAGTTCTATCAGCCTTTTTATTTTGGTCAGACGGGTGTCTAACACATGCAGAAACCCACCACCATGCTTAACAGTATCCAAACCAGAGCTCCATACATCAGATTTATATCAGAATTAACAGTATAAAACAGTAAAATGGGATACAAAAGTAGAGTACAGGGAAAGGGGGTGTGGAAATAGGTCAGGGCAGTGGGAGTGAATTACCCTTGTTCTGAAAGCCAACACAAACTTGATGGATGAAATGATCTTCTGCACTGTAAAATTTTATGAGTCTGTGAAAATTCCTTTGAAAATGCTAATTGAATCTTGAAACTGCAAATTCGAAGGAGTTTGATTTGGCTCTACATAAAAATTAGTGTGGACAGAGTTATATGCATTTTAATTCCTTTCTGATACCTGAGATTTAACCAGGTATCAATTACCTCTGTCTGACAGAATGTAAAACAATGTCATGCTCTACTTGGAATTTGTTTTTAAAAAAATTGAGAGTGTGTCTGGAGCTTCTCAATTTTCAACTGGAGGCTTGGATAACAATGCACATCAAGGTCAAAAAGATAAGTAAGGAAAACAAGATAAGGAGTGATTAGATGACCCAAACCTTGAATGTTTAAAAGCTATAGTCTGTGGGGAGAGGGAAAACTCAGGGAGGTAAGAAATTCTAGTCCCTGGTTTCTGGGAAAGAAAGAGATGGGTACTGGACAGGGCTATGGTGGGCTTTGGTTACAACACAGTGACCACACAGGTAGCAACAATTGTAATAATGCATTTGGTGCTTAGAGGGTAAAGAAATTAAAGTTTCAGAGGAAAATTGCCACAGTAACATTGACAAAACAGACAAGAGGAATTAAAAAATAATAATAACCCTTACATTTGGTATAGCACCTTTCGCTTCAGGAGGACGTCCCAAAGCACTTCACAGGATAGATAGACTGTAAAGTGCAGTGACTATTTTTTGGGTGCATGTGTCAGCCAATTTACACACAGCAATGCCCGACTAACAGTCATCAGGTGAATGACAAATTTTGTGAATTGATGTGAAGGAGAGACAGAGGATAGAGGTGGAAGCTGAGGATAGGATTGCTTATCAGACAATGAGCCTTTACTTGATTTCCATCCAGGAGTGCAAGGGAGATGCTAGCAATTTCTCCTTAAATATAGAAAGTTGGGCTTTCTATTGAATTAACAGCCGGTGAGGGGAAAATAAGTGCATTGTACAAAGAGGAAACTGAACTTGCTTTGAAAGACTTTTGATAATGGAGGAGATATTAATATTTTATGATCAGAGGAGGCTGAGAATGTCAATAGAAGAATTAAAATTAGAATATTATAGGTTAAAAAAGTGCAATACCTGTAACAACTATATTTTAGAGGATTTGAAGTAAACCATATCATTGCCCTATTGAATGAAGGGCATGGAGGAGATCAAGGTTTAGTGATTCAGCCATTAAAAAGGGAAGGTTGTGTGCCCTAGATGTGTGCTGTATCAAGCAATATAGAGCTAAGAATGCATTCTGAATGGAGGACTGTCAGCTTGGATTGTAAGTTCCAAGGCCCTGAATATATATCCAAGTTAACAGTAAATTCATAGTGCACTGTTTCAATGGGACTTATCCCAATATGAAAGGCGTTTTTAGCTGGTTAGACTCCAGAGGTATTCCATTGCATATTCTGAGGTCCCCAAGGTTTGGCTCTTGCCAATCTGCGCCTATTATTCTCCAGAATTAGGTAAGCAGGATGTGTCCCTCCAGGGAGACTGTGCACATTCCATTACAACAACCTGTCTCTGGAATTACCATATGTAGAAATAATAATCCTTGCATTTCTATTATAATAATAATAATCCTTGCATTTGATATAGCGCTCTTCACGTCGGGAGGACGTCCCAAAGCGCTTCACATAACACACTGTAAAGTGAATTGACTGTATATTTTGTGGGCGAAATTCGGCAGCCAATTGCACACAGCAATGTCCCACAAACAGTGATAGATTGAGTGACCAAATGACTAGATGGGATGCATGGAATTCTCAGTTTGGTTTGGATACTCTTAAGCCTAGTGGTGGGTTTCCGCATGTGTCAGACAACCGGAGTTTTTTTTTAAACACCCCAAAAATTGAGGGAAGTGCTTTTAAATGAAACAAAAAAGAAATACTGTTGCATTTAAGTATGGCTGATTGAGAATATAATCCAGCTGAACTACCTACAAAATACACAGTTACTATACACATTAAATCCTGACATGAAAGGTGTCATATCAAATGTAAGGACTATTGTTAGTACTTTAAAGATTATACTGCAACATGATGCCTCAAAGTGTGTTATAGTAATAACACATCCATCACCTAGCAGTTGCCAGTAGACATTTCGTCCCTGGAAATGTCACGGCTATGCTGCAACACAAAACTGTCCTTACTTTTAAAAGATCTATTCTGGGCGTGGTTGAGATGGAGGTTTAAAAATTATGTTTATCTTTGGGGATTTACAATAATCTGACCCAGGATAACATGGCATGACAATACTCTGCCAAATCGGAAGCTTATTCATTCCATCCCCGATCATGTAATTTTTTTAGTCCTGTAGCTTAGTTGTTGGAGTACTTGCAAGCAAGAGGACCCGGGTTCGATTCCCAGGCAGGGCGAAACCTTAGACAAGTTTCCGTACTCCACACGCCTGTTTACCTAGCAGTAAGTAGGAACTCAGTTGTTAGTTGATTGGCGGATCGCATTTCTGGGGGTAATAATCTCTTCAAAAAAAATTATTTATAACTCAATGTTTGTGGGATATTGCTCTGCCCACTTGTCTGCCAGAGGGACATTTCCAGGAGGGAAAAAAACGCACTGCTCCTGGACAAAGGAAGTGAGAAAGAAGAGTGACAGAGTCATTTTTATCACAAAAAATGCCCCATGTATGATATGTGCTTTACTTATTTAGTTCATTATATTAAATAAATATTTGAAAAAAAATTGCAAAACACTTTTTCATCAAGGCAATGACCTAGTAGGATTTTTAATCATAAGGTGACATGAAGTTTGGATGAAGAAGGCAACCAGTCCATTGTATTCCCTCCCTCGCTCGCTCGCTCCCTGCCTCTCTTGCTCACTCCCAGTATATCACCAAGCCTATTTCTTCAATTGGCATAATGACCTTAACCCCCTTCCCAGTAACCAGTTCCAGTCATTGATTGCCCTCTGGTTAGGGTGTGTCCTGAAATTGTTCTTTGCAACTCTGACCCTGTGCCCAATTGTCTTGTTGCTCTGGTGCATTTGGAAGTATTGTTCTGGTTTTGCTATCTCAATCCCTTTTTAGCATCTTATATAACGCCATAAAGTCTCCTCTAAGACTTCTCTTTTCAAGGTTGAAGAGTCTGAACTTATCAAATCATTTTTCATAGTTCACAGTTAACATGGTGATGGGGCGGTGGGGGGAGGTGGGCAGTTTTGTTGCTCTCCTCTGTTCATCCTGTAAAGCTCAGGTTTGGTCTATTGTGTGACACAGTTTTTACTAGAACATCCCGATATAGTATAACTAATGCACCATCCAGCGCAAATAGCTCAAGCACATTTTAGGTGCAATGATCAAAGATCTCACTGCTAAAGCACATAGCAATTCTTTCAATTTCTAATATTACCTTTGGTATTTGTAGAAACCTGCCTGGCCTTGCAATTCTCCATGCAGTGAATTTCCTGTGTTAGATGTGCCATTGGGGAAACACCAGGGTGAGGAAAGCAGGGGTTTACTTACAGGGAGCAACAAACAAATCAGGTCAGGTCATAATCAGGTCAGGTCATTTGGAGATGCTCTGTGCATCTTCGAGAAGCAATTTAAATTTCCCACTTTATGGCTCCCTGTTTTCCCATTTGGCGATCCTTCAGAGCATTCACTTAAACCCCCGATGACTTAGGGTTAGGGTTAACTGTGCAAGATTTAAGATTTAAGGTGTGCAGAACATGAAGCATGAAACATTGAGTAACTAAAACCACCCTAAAGGATGGTACTAGTTACAATAATAAACATGAAAGCACCAGGCTCCAAATGACTTGTTTGTGAGGACAAATAATAAAATGTAGTAAACACACTGACAATGAGTTGGTCATTGTAGGACCTCACACTTGAATAAGACCAAATTCTAAAAGTCAGGCGATCAAGAATTAATGTTGCAAAGAAACGGAGTTAGAAAACTACTTATCGATACACAATAACACCTAGTGCAGCTTTCTATCTCTCACATCACAATCTAGTTTATCTCTCCAAAACTCAATTCAACAAAATTCCTTTTTTTATTACAGATAGGAAAGAGCAAAAAAAAACACTGAACCATTGGGTTTGGAGAATTCCCCCCACTCCACCTGCCACACAATAAACACTTACACATCTCTCTCGGTTCTGGACCCTCGCTCCCCTCCAAGTGGAGGTGAAAATTATTAATGATAATAATGATAATTATAATCCTTGCATTTGATCTAGTACTTTTCATGTCAGTAGGATGTCTCAAAGGGCTTCACGGGAGCTACAGTAAAGTGTAGTGACTGTGTATTTTATAGACAAACGCAGCAGCCCGTTTGCGTACAGCAATGTCTGAGAGAAACATCCCCAAAGCATGTTCAATTTGTGGAAAAAACATGTGCCTGGAAAATTCCTCCCTGATTCCTGGCTCTGAAGGAATGAGTACCGACCACAAGAGCAAAGGTCAATATCCTCTTTTCCGTACCTCACTGGTTTTGATATCATATGGCAATATGGCTCCCAATCTGGTAATCGTGATCCTCTCTTTCCTAGGAAATCTCAATAGATTTCTCTTGAAATTAAATTTAAGTGATAGTGACGAGTGTTTGGTAGGCAAGGCATGTATTTCTGTCCACCTGAAGACCCACATTACGATAGTCTACAGTAATGATGCATTGTAGGCAGAATGTTATTTTGCATTCTTTCATTTAGCGGTGAACAGGGCACATCAAGAGCAAGGGCTGAGCCCACTCTGATTGCAAGAGGCATTACTTTTGCTGATACCTTTTCTGGGTATTATTAGCAAAAGAGCAACAGGAAGAATTTCTGTTTAAATGAGAGCAGTTCAAACCCTGACTCCAGCCCCTGCATGCTCCCTGAATCAGCAGAGTAGACAGAAAAACAGATGCTACTTCACATAAACACTGGGAACCGCAGCGGCTTTCAAAATATCTGGTGTAAATACACTGAATGACTTGAGGAATGTATAGTGCAACACATAGATTCACACTGGCATAGATTCCAAATCTCTGAGGTTCATTAGTTTTTGGGCAATTATTAGAGATAAACTGTGAGTTTCTTTTGATAATGCTGTACCGTATATCTCTGTTTTTTAGTCACTCACGTCATCCCCAAGGCTTGTGTTAAGAAAGCAGTAATTACCTAGCAATTTGACAATGTTTGGGTGGTCAAACTCTGCCATTAGGGCTGCTTCTCTCTGGAAGTCTGCCTGCATGTCTGGCGAGGCTTCCTCTTTCAGCATCTTGACTGCCACCATGGTGTAGGGTTCATAATGCAGAAGCTGAGGAGCCCTGAAAGGAAACCAGAAACATTATTGCAATGGGGGAAATTCTTCTGCACATTCCTCCAATGGCACTTCAGAAAACCAGGGTGATTAGAGTCAAATCACAATAATGGGGTAAGGTCTGTGGCATTTGATGGCTTTAGCTAAGGAATTTTAACCATAAGCTTTACCCCATCTATTCCTGACATATGCACTTCTCTTACTGTATATTTCATTGGGAGGTGAATTATTTTTTTGATTTCCTACCACCTTATCTTGCCAATAAATATAAAATGCTGCTATTATAAACAAACCCACTGGATGTTTATACAGCAAAGGTCATGCAAAGCTTCTTTTCAGTGGGGAACAACCTCCTTCATTGAAGATAGTTAAAATTTATAGCCCTGTTTGACAGGTTGTGGAGAGAAACCTCCCTAGCTCCTGACTGGAGAAATTCCACCTGGTTCTGAGCTTTTTCCTTGCATTTTAAACCAAAACAAATTTTGGACATTTCCTAAATTTAATCTTAAGTTTGAGCATGGTTTCTGTAGGTTCCTCTTTTAAAGAACTATAGAAAATTGGCTTCAAAGTTAAGCCTTGACTTAAGATTTTTTTTACAATATTTGCATGCTCTAAACATGCTAAGAAAAAGTCTTAGGCTAGATTCAGGTGGAATTTCTTCACCCCTGGAATATACTTATCCAAACTTGTGATGATTGCATTTGGGGAATGCCTGCAACATTCAGGAGAACTGATCAGTATCTCAGGCTTCAAGATCATGACAAGACCACTACCAGAAGAGGAGTTAGACCCCTGTACTTAAGACGGGAGCACAAGAATTACTCTGGCTGCACTTCTGCATTCTGTATCAATCCAAAAAGTCTTCATTTAATTGGCAAGCTGCGGTTGACTTTAAGCATTCTTTCTTCAATTATGGCAAGTCAAAGATTGAGTCACCTCACCATGTTCAGTTAGCACAGGTTCTCTCCATCTTGTTAGCTGTTTCAAAGGGTTGGCACAGGCATAATGGGCCAAATGACCTCCTTCTGTGCAGTAGGATTTTATAGGATTCTATGAAACTTGATGCAACACATCTCTGGCATTGTTCTCAGCCTCTCAGCCCCCAGGCTCTGGAACTCCATCCCCCAGTGCCTTTGCCTTGCTTCCTCCCTTTCCTCCTTCAAGGCCGGTCTCAAAACCTTTCTCTTTGACCGTGCCTTCAGCTCCCCTCTCGACTCTCTTCCCCCTCCTCGCTCCCTCCCTTCCCTCCCCTCACCCTGACCATTTCCCCCTCCTCGCTCCCTCCCTTCCCTCCCCTCACCCTGACCATTTCCCCCCTGCTCGGGTCATGACCCAACTGTGCAGCGCCTTGGGACGTCCTCCTGACGTGAAAGGCGCTTTATAAATGGAATCTTGTTGTTGTTGTTGTTGTTGTTCAGCAGCATAATATTGAAGCATTTGGTCTGAACCCAAAAAGTGAACTGCAAGTCCTTGTTAATAATATTATGCCTATCTTGACTTAGCTTTGTATATACAAAGGGAGGTTCACGGATATAAACTCTAAGAAAAGCTTGCATTTCCTTTCTTATTCTGAAGATATGGAGAATGGAGGCATGTAGCTGTCTCCTGTACTTCTGGCCTTTTTTAATAGAGTTCGAATGTAGTATGATCTTCATTTGATAAGCTAGGCTGGTTAGAACACAAATCAAGTTATGAGAAGGCTCTTGGCTTCCCTTTGGCACCCCAGTTGCAATAATATCCTTACATTTGATATAGAGACTTATCATGTTGTCAAAATATCTCTAAACACTCCACTGGATTTTACTGTAAAGTGTAGTGACTTTATTTGTAGGCGAATACAGCAGCTAGTTTGTGCATGGCAATATCTCACAAACAGCCATGAAGTGAATGCCAAATTTTATCTGGAGGATTGTTGTCCAGTTTAGTCGGAGAAACTTTCTTCTTGTTTTAAATAATGTCATGGGATCTTAACTTGAACAGACAGACAAGACCTTGGTTTAATGTCTCATCTGAAGGATGCTACTTCTGACAATGTATTGCCCGCCCCAACATTGCCTTGACTATGAGTTCAATTGCTTTATCAAGATATATCAACCCCTTGGACTTCTGAACAAATTAATTTTATTTGCATTTCCAGGTTTTGCTGCAAAAAAAAAACATCTGTGACAATTGAAAAGTAATAATACATTAAAATAGATATTACCAATGGTCTATTATTGTTGTCCCATAAAAGACTGAGATCCATTTGGTCTTTGTAGCTTCCAGCTACAAGACTAATCCTCTTGTATTCCACTGTAAATTTAAATGAATTTCTTGAGGTAAATATTAGACATTAGCCAATTTCCTAACTTCCTTGTTGAGTGCACATTCATTGGGCACAACTTCACCCTACACCAATTTCCCCTAACTCTATTCAGACTTTGTAAATGCTCCTTCATACTTCATGATTTGAAATTTGACAAGATATTCTTTCTTTTTACTTTTCTTTTCCAAAATTGTTTTTCTTTGTTTACAGATCAGTGTAGATGGTTTGGCTTGGCCTCTCTCTATGCCTCCATGTTGAGAGGCATCTAATGTCCTTAGTTTGTTAGTCTTTTTCTAAAACAGAAGCTTGCTCCATCAAGCTTGTTCCATATATTCCCCAAACCTTCCTCTTTAAGCAGAGTTTCTCCAAAAGTTCAGCCATACGAAAATACTAGCTCTGTATTCAGTCGCCTTCATTCTGCATAATATTGGCAGCCTGTCAGTTTCATGTCTAGACAACCTTAGCCAATAATTCAAGAGGTGGTGTTTTACTTTAGAGCTGACTGAGGTCACGTAGTTTGTGCTGTAATACTGGAGGCAAAGCCTTATGGTATGGAGGGCCAGAACTCTTCATAAAAACATGTTCTGGATTTTCTCAGTTTGGGAGCAAATACTTCACATTTCAGTCTGCACAAAGTGCTGTGTTTTACTCAGATATACATTCAGATATACTAATTCAAGATCCTCGTCCTCACTTTCAAGGCCATCCATGGACTTGCCCCTCCTACCTCTCTGACCTGCTGACTCCCTACGTTCAGCGGGCTCCGGCCTGCTCCACGTCTACCGCCCGACCCGCCCTACCATCGGTGGCCGGGCTTTCAGCCTCTTTGCCCCCACACTCTGGAACTCCATCCCACAGTCCCTTCGCCTCGCTTCCTCCCTTGCCTCTTTCAAGGCCCGCCTCAAGACCCTCCTCTTCGATCGTGCCTTCAGTTGCCCTCCCATCTCTCTGCTTTCCCTCAGCCCTACCCCACCCATTCCCCATGCTCGGGTCCTGACCCCTTACTGTCCAGCGCTTTGGGACATCCTCCCGACATGAAGGGCACTCTATAAATGTAATTTTATTGCTGTTGTACATTTAAAGAAGCTCCTGCTGCTCTTCAGTACTTTCTCCCAAACCTAAGGGCTCCTCTGATAGCATTGCAATGTTCTTTTTTATTTCTTAGATATTCATGTGAGTTTTAGGAGTGGGTATGATGGAAAGAATTGACTCCAATCCTGCTTTTCCGCAAAAAATATATTCTTTTTTGACTGATAATTTTGAGCTGCAAAGTATCATAACCCCATTCTTCGGAACTCCATCACACAGTCCCTCCGCCTCGTCCCCTCCCTTGCCTCTTTCAAGGCTTTTCTCAAGACCCTCCTCTTCGACTGCACTTTCTGTCACTCTCCTATCCCTATTCTCCTTGCCCTCCACCCCTCCTGATCTCATGCTCTAACTCAACTCCAAATCTCTGATGTCCAGGGACTTGGGAAATCTTCCCGACGTAAAAGGCACCATACACTTCATGTGTATTGTTGCTATTTTTGTTATGTTTAGCATCCAATTTTCATCTGCTACCAATACACTAATAGAGGTTGTTGGGGCAGCCAGGGGAACTCCCTTCTCCTTTTGAATAGAGTGACAAGAGATCTTTAATGTCCATCTGAACAGGCAGATGTGACTTCAGTTGAATGCCCCACTTCTGCCAATGCTCACCCAGCTAACACTCTGTGTGTGTGGGGCTGGGGAGAGTGCAGTCTTGTTGCATGCATCTACCCCTCTGCTAGCTATGTGATGGAGGGTCAACTTTAAGTGTGAGTTCAAGTCCCGACCATGAGGCTTGAACCCACAGCATTCTGAAGCAGAGGCAAGAGTGTAACCAACTGAGCCAAGCTGACGTTCATCATCTGCACAGATGAAGAGCATGCGTGACTCACAAATCCTCCATCCTGTGTGGATGGAAATAAGTATTACAGAGCCAGGAGGTCAGGAAAAAGCCCTGTCTCACAGCTGAAGATCCAGAACAACTGTTCAACTCTCTTCCATTTTTATCTAATCTGCTTCCTGTTGAGGTGTCAGTGAACAAATTGAAATTTCCTAAATCTTGGAGCCAAATCATTCTTTGAGCCAGAGTGACTTCCGGCTTACTTCGGCAATAACGAGCCAATGGATTGATGAATTCAGGATAAAGTTTAAATTTTATGTTCCTGCATTTTTATTGACCATAATTTATTGTGTACTAGCCCCCGCTAAACTCCGCCAGTTCCCTGCTGCTGGACTGATGTGTGGATTAAGTAAGTAACCAGGTCACCCGAATGACTTAGACAGAAGATGGTGAGAATTAAACATCACCACAATGTTTGGAAGGCTAATTACTCTATAGGATTCCTAGCTATTTCTGTTGCATGATTTATAGATGGGGATATGTTAACCTTTCACCCAGTGGTAAATGCATGTGCTTCATTTGTAGAGTTGCATACTCTCACTGTAATTGAACCTTCTCAGTTCTCCATTGCGATCCCACCGTGACCTGGTGCTTTCCTGTTTCTGTTTTTGAATCCCATCTTTTATTTCTTTTTGTGAAGGAAGCATCCCAATTTTCTCACCCTCTCTATTCCCTCACCACTATTAACATCAGAACAAACTAACAGCTCATCATCAATCTCATTCTGCCAACACTAGATCTTGTTTTACCCATAAGAGGACTGTTCCATTCCACT